TTTCATTTAACAATACAATGAATAAATTCAACATTAACAAGGAATTAAGCATGTATAATAGAAAAAATTAAACAAAAATAATATTCTTCCAAAATAAACTTGTAGAACTAAAATATCACCTTCTGGAATTTTTCCCGAATTTTATAACCTAAAATCCAATTTTAACAACTAATTGATAATTTTCCCAATATTAACTAGAAAATACAAAAAAGCAACTACAAATATTCTAAATTCGTTCTAAATTTTATATTGAATACTAGGAGTGATATTACTGTGAATTTAACTGGAATTAGGACAGAAACTAATTTTTTTCCTTTTTTGAGTATTTAATTTAATTTATGTAATAATAACAACTAAATGCCGGAATTAATTAAAATTTACTTCTACTTCATAAAAATTAACTTTGTTTTGATAAATAACTACCTTGAGGCTAGTAAACAACTATATAATTAATTGGAATGGATTTAATGTCAACAACTATTTTATTCAAATTTAAGACGAAAATGCGAAATAGTTGAATAATTTTCTGGAAATTTTAGAAGCACAGATAAAAAAAACTAAGTACAGATTCAGATTCTACTCATTGAAAGGATGAAAATACATATAAAGAACTCACAATTTGGAGCTAAAATGAGAAAGATATGAAAGATTGAAGTTGAAGGTGCAACAATGGTGGAAATCCGAGCTTTGAGGAGGAAGAAGACGCCCTTTTTGATCTGATTTGGGCTTGAAATTGGTGTCCTTGAGTTGAGGAAAAATCGGGCAATTTATAGCAGAAATTTCCCCGAAGGCGGCCAACCAGGCGGCCGCCTTCCGCCTCTCTCCGGCCGCCTGCCGTCCTCGTCGCCGACAGCGGTCAGTGGCCGGTCCCCGTCAGCCGTAGGCGGCCACAGAGGGCGGCCGCCTTCCGCCACACGTCGGCCGCCTGCCGTCTTTTCATGGTCAAATCGGATCGCGGCGGATCCCGGCGGATCCCGGCCGCCGCAGGCGGTCCAGCAGGCGGCCGCCTGCCGTCCTGTCTGGCCGCCTGCCGTCCTGTCTGGCCGACCGGTGGTTGGTTTCGTCCCCTTGTGCCGCAGGCGGCCACCGTAGGCGGCCGCCTTCTGTCCAGTGTCGGTAGCCTTCGGTCTTTTCCCGGTCCCGAGTCAAAGCGAGGTTGACTTCTGATTTTTCCCGTAGGCGGCCGCGAAGGCCTCCATTTTGGGCGCCTATTTGGGCGCCTTCTGCTATTTTTGTCTGGCAGATGCGGCTTTTCCTGCTCTTCATTTTTGTCTTCTGAATCACCTTGATAAAATGCTTGCTTCTTCCGGTATAAATGCATTTGTCACTCAAATTGACTCATTTTGTGCTCAATTGACCCGAAATCCCGCTAAACATATTATGGATGTGATTTTTACCTGATTTCATGAAACTTGAACCAAAATATATAAAATGTGTCTTTTCTTTCTATTTTCATTCAAAAATCGCTTAAATTTGATAAGAAAAATAAGTTCAAAAATGGACTTATCAGATGACAAGCCTGCAGAACCAAAGTTAGTAGCACAAACAGGTAATGCATGAATATTTAAATGTGACACAGATGAATTACAAATAACAGTGCCCATGGAGGACACACCCTCTGCCTGCGGAGCATATCCAGCCGGAACAATAGAACCCGCACCACCGCCTGCAACGAACTGCGGAGGCTGTCTCGGTGGTGGATACCAGACCGGCTGTCCATAGTACTGTGGCTGGTGACCTCTGCCACGACCACGGCCACCCCGGACGCGGCCTGCTCGACCTCGACCGCCACGGCCACGCTGGCCCTACTGCTGCTGCGGGTATGCTGGTCGCTGCCCCTGCTGCTGACCACACGGCTGTTGGGCCACGTGCTGATCGGGTTGCTGAGCTTGTGCACCGAAGGCGTGGTGCACCGAAGCTTCCTGAGACCGGAAGAAATAAAGACACCGTAGTGAACAAGGATTCATATTCAGGTCCCAGACCCATAATTGTGGATTTCAGCGGTTCTCGTGGAGGAATAGAGCAGTTGATAGTAGCTAGATCATCAGCTAAAATTTTAATCTCGCGCAGATAATTATCCATAGACTGATCAGGTTTCTTTTTAATTTGATTCAGCAAACGCTTTAATTCCATAGACCTAGCTAAACTAGCAGACACGAAGCGAGATTCTAACCGTTCCCAAATTTCACAAGAATGTTTTAAATCCCGAACATCAATAAGAACATCACGTGATAGAGTGACAACTAACCAGGAACGAATCGTTTGATCAATTCGTAGCCAAGTAGAAAATTTGGGATTGAGAATTTGACGATTTAGAATATCTATGGAATAAGCGAGAGGTACCTGAATGGAGCCATCAACCATGCCAAGAAGACCTTGTGAGACAAGAAACGACTCAAACTAGGTCCTCCAAGTAGTGTAATCTTCCACCGCCAAAAGTTTGATAATAACAATGTTGGTTACATTGGTAGCCACATAGGAGATTGTTTGCGCGAGGGATGCCAAGGTGGAATCAGAATTACTGACAGCAGGGGTCCGGAGTGGCGGCAAGGTTGAGGACACCCTCGATGACCCAACAAAGGTCGGCTCAGAGAAAGAACCGGCCGAGAGAGGAGGTGGGTCTAGGGGAATGTGCTGCACCGGAGTAAGGGCTCGCCACGGGAATACCGGCGGCATATTATGAAACAGAGAATACATCCCAGAAGCTCGACTCGATGACGCAAAGCTGGAGGAGAACGTCACGTCTGATTCACCAGAACTGAGGACCGGCTGCGTTCCAAAGGACAAAGGAACGCCGGTCGTCATTGACATAGTAGCCGCCGCTGCAGAAGAGGAAGGAACGGTGGATGCTGTGGAGGTTGCCGCCACGGTGGTCGTTGCGGAAGAGGAGATCACGGCGGAGGTGGTTGAAGCATCTATGCGGCGCATGAGATAGAGAAAAACGAAAAAAAAAACTTGGTTTTTACTGGGCTCTTAATACCATGTGAGAATAAGGAACCTGTCATATGTATATCTAAAAATAAAAGAGTTTAGAGAAAAGTGTCAGATTGGCCCTCCTAGTTTGTACGGAAAGTCAATTTAGCCCTCCTACTTTAAGTTTGATCAATTAGGTCCTCCTACTTCATAGTTTTCATCAAAACCGACTTTTAGCAGGTAACCTACCACCCGGCAGGTTGTCTGCTGACGTGGCGCACACGTGGCCTGACACAACACACATGTGGCAGCCACGTCGTTTTTTTCTTTTCTTTTCCACTTTATTTTTTCCTTCTTTCTTTTCTTTCCCTTCATCTTTCTTCTTCTTCTCCATCGCAGCAGTGAGGTCGCAGGCCAGGTGAACAGTTGCCGCCAAAATTGAAGGTGCTCGGAAAATTAAACTAAAAATATGAGGAGGTGCGCCTCTTCACGGAGACCTCATTTACATATTCTATACTTTCCGACCGAGCCCTGAAGTCGCCGGAAAAAATGGCGAAGGAGTACAAAAATGAGAAATGTGAGCAGATTCCAGCCAGCTACAAACCAGCCCCCAAAACTCGTTCTCACCTGCTCAAAATTGATATGGAGAGTCTTACCTAGCTAGATAACTCTAATTTAGTCTCAAAATAAAAAACAATCGCCTATATTTGAGTTATGAGCAAAAACTGATCTCTGATTTAACAGTGTTTCCGGCGATATTTATCGGTCATAGGCGGAGTAATAAAGAAAGGGGTCGGGAAAGAGACAAAATAAATAAATAAAGACAATCACAGCAAGATTTCGCCATTTGCAAAGAAAATGAAGTTTTGCAGGTTTGGAGGAGGAAGAACGATGGGGAAGGGGATCTGGGAGAGGAAAGAAAAAGAAAAGAGAAAAAGAAAAGGAAAAAAGTGATGTGGTTGCCACGTGTGTGCTGTGTCAGGCCACGTGAGCGCCATGTGTGCACCACGTCAGCAGGTAACCTGCTGACTGGCGGGTTACCTGCTAAAAGCCGGTTTTGATGAAAATCGCAAATTAAAAGGACTTAATTGATGAAATTTAAAGTACAAGGGCTTAATTGACTTTCCGTACAAACTTGGAGGACCAATATGTCACTTTTCCCAAGAGTTTAATATAAACCTTTGTTAGTAATATACGGTACGTGAATAATACAATAATACGTACGTTCGTGTATAATACGATACAATTATATAAAATACGGCTTAATATATGTTTCATACGTTCGTGAAATATATAAAGATACGGACTCGTTTTAAACGTTTCACAATTTAAAAATACGGCATATAATATGTGTCTTATATACGAAGTACTTATTTAATGATAGAAATAAAGAGTTATTTAACATTTGCACCCCAATCTTCAACAATTTAAAATGTACGGAATAGTTTTTTTTTTCTTCAGATTTATGTATTTAAATGCTTAGGTACAATACGTATTAAAAATGAAATTGCTTATTTAAGTAGAAGTGAAGAGATATTACTAGAAAATAGTTGATATTACTTTGACCATGAGTTTAGTGAGCCGCCACAACATTTTTCAATCTCTTTGGAGTCTTGGTATATCGGTGGAGAACAAAAGTAATACAGTAGTAGTACAATACAAATATCGAAACAGATTACGAATTTAAGAAGCTAATTCATTAAATGTAATGACCGTTAAACAATTAGCGAACATATAAGACATAACGTTTTTTAAGCAATATAAATAATATTGATTAGCTTGACATGCATTTTGTTTCAGTTGTATCACTCCATTAGGCTTCCGTTTAATGGCGTGTTTTTTTAATAAAATACGTATCAATACGTACAGTACGTGTATTATACATTTTATTCTTAAAGCACGTGAGTTTTTCAGAATTTTCTGAAAAATTCATAAACAAGAGTATTATACGTAATAAAATACGTATCAATATGTACGGTACGTGTATTATACATTTTATCCTTAAAGTACGTGAATTTTTCAAAAAATTTTGAAAAATTCATAAACGAGAGTATTATACGTGAATTGTACGTTCGAGTGTATTATACGCGAATTATACGCGAATAAACTAACAGAGATATAAACGACCAACAATGAACGACACCCAACGAGTCAACGACCAACAATTATTTGCCGAACACCCTTTTTATCTGGTCAGAGCAAATCCGGTCCGGGATCAAATAATTCAGGGAATTCCGGTACCTCTTGGACCGGGGTTTATTACTACTGAGTGACATTCAACTACCAGTCAACACTTTTCGTCACTCCGTTCCTACAATCCAACCTCCAATTTCTCCCACTATATCTCATCAGGAAAAACAGTCGCATTGTGCGTTTCAGAATCCATGGCGGCGGCGGCGGCGGCGGCGGAAGGAAAAGGAGTGAAGGTCCCGAGAATGAAGCTGGGTTCGCAGGGGCTGGAAGTGTCGGCCCAAGGCCTGGGCTGCATGGGAATGTCCGCCTTCTACGGCCCGCCCAAGCCGGACGCCGATATGATCCGCCTCATCCACCACGCCGTCAACTCCGGCGTCACCTTCCTCGATACCTCCGACATGTATGGCCCCCACACTAACGAGATCCTTCTTGGGAAGGTATGCCGCTATCTTTCATGCCTACTTTTTTTCGCAGTACTTGGATATTTCGAATTCCTGTCTATCTTTGTTTAAATATATATACACTCGTTCATGGATAGAAAGTGATGTTTTTATGCTTTGTATCGAGGTCATGACATGCTTTGTATCAATATCACAGCCTGTTTGGCAAAAACGAAATTGAAGGAACTGACCGAATTTCCTGAAATTTTGGAAGGTCTGATCTTAAGCATTTGAATTGGGTGAATCTATTGAATTACCTGAAAATTATATTTAAAATATATCTATTGAATTACCTGAAATGAAGTTCGGACCTACAAACATATATGTACATATTTATGTAAGGTACAATTTTGTTTTGACTTTCCAAATTTACCCTTACTTTATGTCAAATCAAACAAAAAGTGAGTAAAAGGTAAGGGTAGTTGTAACTTTTAGGATTAAAGTGGTTTCCTTTTATACAAATTGGAACTTCTATTTGGGACATCCATACAAGGAAAGTGAAAACTTCTTTTCGGGATGGAGGTAGTACATTTTATTGAGAAAATCCAGAAATTTTCTTATGGAAAAATATCTACAGTAACTTAGCCAAATCATCAACTTCAACTTTACTTATTTTGACTATTATACAATTCAGTGTGCGAAATCAAAAGTTACGTATTTGGTATAAAAAAAGACTAATAAGACCGATAAGCTGAAAAACATGGTCATCAAACGGGCCCTTAGTACTACTGATTTTGCTACAATTCAAGCTCCAGGGAGGATCTAGGGAGGATCTACCTGCAGATGCCCTAGTAAATTTCTTTATTCCATAGGTTTAGGATTAGGGGTGCTTTTAGAAGAAAAGCAGAAGCAAAATCAGTTTTTCAGAAGCTGGTCTACCCCAACTTCTAAGAGCACTTTGGAGCACCCAAAAGTACTTGTGCAGTTTCACCCAGACACTCCAATATCTCCAATATCTTCTTCGGCTTACTGAAGGAGAAAAAGCAGTTTTAAGAAGTAAATCCAAACACCCCATTAATACTAAACCATGCAATTTCAGCTGTAGAAAAAAAAGGACTTCCCCCAATAAATTTGTTTGCTGTCGGCCCATGCCCCAACTGGAATGATGTAAAACTATGAAGGAGATAAGGTAATTTGTACTCATTAAAGAGAATTAAATGGTGCTCAACTTTATTTAGAAAGTTAAAGGATAATCATTTTGAATACTGAGTATTATTTATCTGTGATAAAATTGTTGAATTATCAAATTCTTAAAATAATGCTCCCTTTGTCTTGAATTTTTTGGGTCTGTCTTATAATAAAAAAACTCTTTCTTTTTTGGAATGAAATTCGGGTTTCAACCGCACAATTTCATTTAAAATCACATTTCATAATAAGTGTGAGAAGTCTAAACATGTATATCATTTCAGGAGAAGGAAGTACAAAACAATATAATAAATCACTATAGGATGGATTAGAAGTTAGAACACATTATAAGGTCCAGTTCTATGATAGCATGCCTCCAATGAACATTTTTTCTAGATTAGCCAATGATTGTTTCTTAAACATTTTTGCTGAATAAATGTCTAACACCGGATTGGTATAACATAATAAATCGCTATATAAGATACATTTATTCTGATGGAACCCCGGGTCTCAACAATTTTCAAACTACTCCGTATTTATTGGTCAAAGAGGGTGTGATCTAACCCAACTGGCACTCTTCATACCCATTGAATTGTTTTTTGCATTTCTAAGTATTTTCTAACTCTGTAGTGTAAATATTGTCCTTAAAGGCATTGAAGGGAGTAAGAGAACGAGTAGAGTTGGCAACGAAGTTTGGATTTACTCTGAGAGAAGGAAAGAGAGAAATATGTGGAGATCCAGCCTATGTGCGGGCAGCATGTGAAGCCAGCTTGAAGCGGCTTGATGTTGATCACATTGACCTTTACTATCAACACCGCATAGATACACGTTTGCCCATTGAAGTCACGGTTAGCCCCCTTTTTCCCTCATATGCCCTATTGGTACACATGATCAATCTATATTGACTAAACTCGAAGTTTAATCAATCAACAAAGTGTGCAACATTCCGATAATTCTCTTTTTATTAGTAAATGGAAGTCTAGCATGTGATGTGCCTGGGACTGTATATTACGGAGTATTGTTTATAGACCTGCATCAGATCAACATATAAGTTCAATGGTAATGTTGGTGAAATTCAGTCAAAACTTAGCATCAATTTTCATGCTGAATAATTCTAGCTTGAGTCACATATATGATCAGATAACAAATGCCATGTGTCAATAGATTGAATTAATGACACATATAAGCGAAGACATTGAGATTATGTGTACTGATTATAGAAACCTGCAATTTGAAACAGGTTTTCAAGAACTAAATTAAATAAGAGATCTGCTCAGATCCCTGAATAAGAAAAAATATAATGGCCTGAGATTTTACTTTCTCTACAAGATGGCCTGAGATTGACTTTGAGACTGTTGAGGTCTTATGAATAGAATAGAAGTGGCAGAACATTTTTGTTCAAAATGGCATAGTTTTAGTTTATCATGTTCCATGTTTTATGTCTACTTAGCTATTTCTCCTTCATCCCTGCATTCTGTTGCAGAAGAATAACCTGAAATGGGTTCAAGAAACAAGTTCCCTATTTTACCTCTTTCACTTCTTTACTTCTCTCACTTTTACCGAATTACCGGGATATAGTATATAATGTGAATCCTTTGTTTTGCGTGTCTTGTATTTTTTTTATAGGAAAAATTTCTTAATATTACGTTTTAAATAGTCATTGGACAAAAATGTTAATTTTTAATTCTAGGACATTAATGTCACCAATGAAATTACCATCAGTCAAGTGGTCATAATCAACTGCCAATGCGGCTAGCCGGCTACCAGAGGCAACTGGAGTGTTGCCAACTACCTTGGTTACATTAATGTCCTAAGATAAAAATATATATGAAGCACGGAAACTCTCTCCGTTTCGGAAACTCTATTGAAACTCTTTGGAAACTCTCCAAATAGTAGTTTTTCTATTAAAAATGACATTTTCTGTCTCCCCATGTTTCCAATTTTTCCATGCAACATAGAAAAAATTATCAAATGAGTATTTGATTAGTAATCTTTAAGAAAAATCCCCTCTTAATATGTTTGCCATTGAAAATCTTCTTATCCATTTAAGTTCTTCATGATCTTGCAAGATGGAAGAACTCAAGAAGTTAGTTGAAGAGGGTAAAATAAAATACATAGGTCTTTCTGAGGCTTCAGCTTCGACGATCAGAAGAGCACATGCTGTTCATCCAATAACAGCAATACAGTTGGAGTGGTCTTTGTGGTCAAGAGATGTCGAGGAAGACATAATTCCTACTTGCAGGTGCATTCCTTCTGTTCTTTTCATGTTTCGTGCTTACTGTTGAATCATCTTCATCCTTTAGTATTCTTCTTACCATTTTTTATTTTTTATTTCAGAGAACTTGGAATTGGGATTGTTGCATACAGTCCCTTGGGCCGGGGATTTTTATCATCCGGTCCAGAGCAATTTAAGGATTTCGCAAATGGAGACTTCCGAAAGGTTTGCCCTTATTGTACTCCGTAACTTTTTCTTCTAAATAAGAGGTCTTTATAGATCATCCAACTTGGATAGATATGGGGTGCTATCCAATTTATGACCATATCAATTAGTAGAATATCGCTTGCCTAACGGAATGTAAGTCACAAGTTAAAGTTGTTTTTGACTTGTTATATATTGAATCGAGTCTTAGGGTATGCTTAGCACGATTCATTGAAAAGGTATTTTGTGAGTTTTTTAGTAACTTTTAGCTTTTAGTGACGGTAAAGATCTTTAAAGAAAAATGTCGTAGTTGTTTGATAAATAGCTAACTGTTTGATTTAGTTCTGCTTGGTATAACAAGTTGTGACTAATTAATGCTAAAGCTATAGACTTTCTCTCAAATGCCCTTGTACAACGAATAGTTTTGGAATTTTTTACCTAAATAATTTTAAAAAAAATTGAAAATTGGGTGGCCGGGCCCTAGGTTGCCCCCCAGCTACACCCCTGCTTACTATAGTAAGTAAAATAATCTTTTGAATTTTTTTGTGAGTCGTTACAAAAAAAATAAAAATAAAAAAGCTAATGAGCTAACTTGGGAAATTAATTGATCTACTCTATAATTAGTTATAATTGGTGGGGAAAATCCGACCTCTTCACTGTTCATGAGCTTTTATAAACTCTTGTAGACTTGTAGGCTTTTACTCACGCACTCGTTAATACAAAAGGCACAATGAAAGAACATGACTTTGTATTATATAATGAGACATTCAAAAAGATTTTTCTAGTATACATTTAGCTCACTTCACTCTTCTACTTCACTCTACCTTACACATTTATTTACACTTATTAGTTGGATTTGGAATGTGAGCCTGTGTATTTAATTGTGCAGCTTTTACCAAGGTTTCAAGCTGAAAATCTTGCATACAACAAGAAGTTGTATGAAAGGATTGTAGAAATAGCTGCAAAGAAAGGATGTACTCCTTCACAACTAGCATTAGCCTGGGTGCACCACCAAGGAAATGATGTATGCCCAATTCCTGGTACCACTAAGATTGAGAACTTTAACCAGAATATTGGTGCATTGACTGTGAAGCTGACAGCAGAAGACATGGCTGAGCTTGAAAAAATTGCTTCTGCTGATTTGGTCAAGGGCGATAGATGTACACCTGATATGGCAACATGGAAACGATCTGATACTCCGCCCTTGTCTACATGGAAAGCTGCCTAATGCTTTCGTGTAGTGGTCTCTACTCTATCCGCATATTAGTGTATGGGAGTGAGTTGTAACCTGTCTTGAGTGGTTTCTTTTGAGAATAAGCACCTTATAAGGGCAGAGTAGATGTGTTTATTTTCATCTCTTTTATTTTCTAATGAACTACTACTTCAGTTGTTTGCTTTTTCCAAGCTTATTTTTATCATAAGCTAAAATATGGTTGTTGTAGCCATGATATTTCTGGAAAGAATATCACATTATATGGCGTCATATTGTAGTAGTGGTTCCAGCCTGTTTGGATGGAGTGTTAGAAGGGGTTAGTAATGCAAGTGTTAAAGAGTGTTGGCTTTAACACTTGTTTGTGAGATTTTTTTTAAAAAAATTGGAGTGTTAGTATTTAGAAGTATTTAACACCCCACATTGGAGTGTTTTGGAGTGTTGGACAAATCTCGCCCCTCCCTGAAAATGGTTCATCGACCAAATTTCAATCATCCCTCACCGGTCATCTCAATTGGAACCATCTTTCTTGGCTTGGCCAACAGCTCCTTCATTCTCCATGATTGGGATTGCACTCAACTTGCCGGTTATCTCCTCTTTAACCCAATTCTGATGCGACAACTATGGTGGTCGGCCTCGCCATCACCGACGGACTCACTCCGGCTACTGTAGTTGTTGTTTAATTTAGTTGAATTGTCTTGATTTTATATAGTTAGTTGTTTTGAATTATGGTTTCCCTATCTGATTTCAACAAGGCCACATTGCATGATGAAGTTTGCCAACTATGTCAGTTCAATTCAACGCACCTATGGAAAGGTGTGCTTGGTTAACAAATCAAGAAGTGGGAATGAGAATAGTAAAATGATAAAGATACCCCAAAATAGGGTACTCCATTTTTACTCCTGCCATAAATGGAACAACTCATCAAGTGGGGCACCACTTAATGAGTTGTTCCATTTATGGCCACCCATTAGGATGGGGTAAAAATGGGGTACCCATTTTGGGGTACCTTTAGCATAGCTCATGATAATAAACTTGATAGGAGGGAATTGGTTTCATGTACTCATTTGGGGACTCGAACGGGCACAAAGTTAGGAAACAAAATCCAGGGAGCATCTTCTACTCGACATAAAGCATGTCCCCAATCCCCACAGACTTCTCAATAACAAATGTACTATTGTTGTACAAATCAGGTCTAGGGAGAAGCTATCGAGAAGCAAAGGTATTTCGAGAGCTTCGAATTTATATTTCTTTTAGGATATAAATATAAATGAGGTCAATTTAGCTGAAAACACTTTCATTATTAACACTTCATTTTTTTACTCTTCCAAACAAGGTAAGTTTATATTTTATAGTTACACTTATCTTCCCTTTCGGTCTCTTGTCAACACTTACTAACACTTCAATTATTAACACATTTCATCACTCCATCCAAACAGACCGTTAGGAATTTGGCGTTTGGTGACTTCTACTTTCGGTTTATTAGTTTTATCAGTTAATTTTTTGCCAAACATATAATTTTTTGTTTTAGACACTGCATTATGTAATAATAAAAACAAGGTCACGATTACTTTTCTAACGGGATTGACTGAAGTTATTATAGAAGACCATTTTAACTATTTGTCCTTATAATTTTTTTTATCTTGTTAATATATATAATATATATTAAGTTAATCCTGTTGTTAGAGTCAGATTCTCAGCTCGTTTGATAACCATGTTTTTCAGCTTATCAGGCTTATCAGTCATCTTTTTAACCAAACACGTAAATTTTGATTTAGCGTGCTGAATTGTGTAATGAAAAAATTGCAGGCGTATAACTATTGGGGTTTTACTTTCTCAAAACATGACTCTTTTACATTTTTGCCAAAAATATGATTTAAAGTATCTTTCGTCTCTCTGCACATAAGCACGATATCCCTTCTCTCTTCTTAGACCGTTGTGCCATGCCAATACCTAGCCGATCGATCTTCTCCTCAGACAACCTTCCGCCTCCAGCCCACCACCATGCTACGCCACCGCCTCTCCCCCTTGTCGTCGCCCGTCTTCCCCCTTGTCTTCGTTTTCACCTCTCACTAACATTTAATTTGCACCGCCCTGATTTCTCCGATTTTCACTTGTGTCGCCATCTCCGAAGGCCACCATCTCCGCCGTTGTTCGGACGCACCGTCGTCGTCATCCAGGTTCATCTTCTTCATTTGCTCTTCTTCTCGAACCGAGTCTTGATTTCGTCTGATTTTGACGGTGTTGGATCTATTCATGGCACGCGGCTAGGTTTCACATGTCTGGCCGCTGCAAGCGACGGCAGATCTGTCCATTAGAGCCTAAGGGTGGCCGTCTCTGCTTGGCCGACGCTTTGTGGATTCAGATCTGGGAGGTGGGCGGCTATGGAGGTGGTCTGGCCTCCTAGAGAAGTGTTTGCCCTCTGGGGCTGGAGGCCGTGGAAAGGGGGCTAAGTGAGGCAGGGGGATTGGGGTGACACAGGGGAGGGGGCTGGGTGAGGCAGGGGGATTGGGGTGACTCAGGGGAGGGGGCTGGGGTGACAGGAGAGGGAGCTGGGTGAGGCAGAGGCTTGGGTGTGGTGGTTGCAAACAACAGGAGTTGGTGGCTGCCGGAGGCGGTAGCCGGTGGAGGTAATTGGACGGTGTGGCGGTGGTGTCACTGTGGCGGTAGCCGGGCGGTCAATATGGTTGTAGTCACTATGCAGCTAAGTCACTGTGAGCCGTAGTCACTGGGTGGCGGAGTCACTGGGCGGCGGAGTCACTGTGACGGCGGCAGTCATTGTGGCGGCAGTCACTATGGCCGGAGTCGTGTCGGCGGTGGCGGTGGTGATGGCCGCGGTGGTGCTGAGTAAGCGGCCACAAAGGTGCTTCTGGTAGCAAATGGAATAGGGAAAATGGAAACTAATAATCCAACCTTTTAGCGGTCTTCTTTCAATAATCCCACCTTTTGATTATTCATGAATAATCCAACCTTTGCACCTCATCTTCATTCACTGGTCCCTGACCGGTTGATGACCTGCTGTTCCAAGCTATTTTCTTATCTTTGCAAATCATTATACCATAAATCTCATCTTTCACAAAGATAATATTTTGGAAAGATAAGAAAATAACTTGGAATAGTAGGTCATTAACCGACCAGGGACCAATGAATGAAGATGAGGTGCAAAGGTCGGATTATTCATAAATAATCAAAAGGTGGGATTACTGAAAGAAGACCGCTAAAAGGTTGGATTATTAGTTTCCATTTTCCCAATGGAATAAATGAATAAAAGGAATATTGAAATAATAAAAGGAATATTGAAATAATAAATGTATATTAAATAAAAGGAATAAATCACTTTTAGTCACATTTTTAGAAAAATTTAAAACAAATCACTTTTTTATCATTTTCATTCATTTTAGTAATATTGGAATAAAAAGGCCTTGTGTAATAATAACAAAAAGTAAGGTTGAAGTTACTTCTCTTGTTGTATTGGCTAAAGTTACTTTTCTTGTTGTATTGGCTGAAGTTACTTCAGACAACCATTTTAGCTATTTTTAAATATAATTTTTCTTTATTTTATTAATAAAATATATTTTAAATACAGGGTATAATTTTTTTCATAAATTAGCAGAATCGGCCAATTCAGTCACTTCAGTCAAAATTTCATAAGTTTCAACCGAATCAGCCGATTGAGTCGATTTCCATATTACTAAAGAGGCCCTTCATCGATTAAATAGAATATTGAGTCAATTTCAATAATATCAAAAGTTTCTAAATGAATGCATTTAGGGATGGACTTGGACGGGTCTGCCCGCCCCGCCCCCTCCTTGACCCAGTATTGTTTGGTAATGGTCCCGTCTGCCGTCCGGGGCCGGTCCATTGGGCCCGAACCGGTGGTAGCACAAGGCGGGCTACGAGATTGACAAATGTGGGACCGGTCCGGGCCTGCAACGACTATTTAAAAAAAAAGAAATCATTTGGCAGCTCCTAGCCGTTGGGAAAGTCCCAAACAGCTCTATAGCTGTTGGGGGGGGGGGGGGGTACAAAAAAATCTTATATATACTCCTATTTTCTATACATTTTTCTACACCTCTTCTCCGACTCTTCCTACTCTCTAATATTCTCTAATCATCTCCATGTTCATCTTCTCTAATTCTCTCTACACCTATTACTATATATCATATTTATTTAAATTATTATACAATTATTATATCTACTTATATATTAATTATCTACTTATAAATACATATATTATATTACTTATATTTATTATCTACTTAACATATACTTATTATCTACTTAATATCTACTTATTATATACTTGTTATTTACTTATATTTACATATCACATCTAATTAATATATTAATTATATATATTAAAGTATTAAATATGTTGTACAAGTGTATTATTACTCATACTATAGTAATATACTTATATATTAATTATATACTATAAACATTATTATATTATATATTAGTTATACAATTATTGTATCTACTTATAAAGAAATGCTCATGTCCAGCCGGAGGGGCGAGAGCCGCTGTCTGAACTCCGCTGTTTGGGGCAGTTCCTGGTGAAATTTTTTATGAAAGTTTTTGAGCATGTTTCCCATCAAGTCTAGTTTATCCACAAAACATGTCAGCTCAAAATTCGATCGGGAAGTCAGTCAAATAATTTTTGAAGTTGACTGTGTTTTCTATGTACAGAGTATAAATTTTTGTGGATAAATTTTGAACATGCTCAAAAGATTTCATCAAAAAATTCCACCGGGAACCGCCCCAAACGGCAGAGTTCGGACGGCGGCTCCCATCTCTCCGGCTGGACCTGAGCATTTCTCTCTACTTATATACTTATACTATATCTACTCATATTTATTATCTACTTAATATCTACTTATTATATATTTGTTATTTACTTATATTTACATATATTACATCTAATTAATATATTAAGTGTGTGTGTATATTAAAGTATTAAATATAAGTGTACTATTCATCTTATATTAGTATACTTATATATTATATACTATAAACAATATATAATATATTACTTACACTTTAGTTTATATTAGTTAAATTGATCGCATGTACTCACACTCCCATTAATTAGTATACACATTCATACATTTTTCCTATTAGTTACATTTTTCATTAATATTTATGAATTAGTTAATTGTTACATTTCTCATTTGGTCACCTTTAATATTTGCTACATTCTCATTAGATTAAAAGATAAAAGTAGTTCCTTTTTTTAGTTAATTTTACTGCACTTGTTAGATTAAAATATAAAAGTAGTTGGAACTTTAGTTAATTAAACTATTAAAGTAGTTGGAATTTTAGTTAATTAAACTATACTTGTTAGATTGAAGTATTTATTAAATTAGTTGGAATTTTAGTTAATTAAACCATTAAAGTAGTTGGAATTTTAGTTAATTTACTACACTTGTTAGATTGAAGTATTTATTAAACTAGTTGCAATTTTAGTTAATTTACTACACTTGTTAGATTAAAATATAAAAGTAGTTGTAATTTTAGTTAATTTTAGGGAAAGTTCCCGAAATGGGACCAAAAACGTTTGTAAATTCCAAAATATGACTGCCATGTTTTTTTCTCCAAAATAGGAGTAATTATTGTCATGTTTGGAAAATACTGTCATATTTAAAGTCTGGTACTGTCAAAACATGACAGTAATTAGTCTCACCTTGGGAATAAAAAACATGACATTCCTATTTTGGAATTTACTAACGTTTTTAGTCCTATTTTGGATAAATTTTCTTAATTTTAT